AGGAATTCTTACTATCCCTGATATTTTAAAAAAATGTATTTTTGAACTGGTAAGGCCTTGCAGGAACACTGTTCTTTTACTCCTAACAGTGTTTTAGGGCTGATCAATTACAGTGTTTTAAATGGAGTGTTTAATGCAGGTTAAAAAGAATAAGCTATCAAAAATGATTATCATCAATTCCACATGATCAGCCCAACACTGAAAGGAGAAGAATTTCTTCAGTGTTTTGCCATGTACGGAAGTGCTCTGCCCCAGAGAGAGGCATGTCCTTGATCAGGGAAGTCCATGTGCTGACATGCTTTCCCTTTCCTCTCTCACACAGTCCAGCTCGAAAGATTCCCCCAACATCTGTGAACAGTAACAAAACACAACTCTGAATACATTTCAGTGAGTATCTGCCAACAATTATTAGGTGGAACCACATGAAATTGCCAATACTCAACCATTTTTGACCTACAGAAGGGAAAGGGTCATTTCATCTCGTTCATCGAATATATTTAAAAGCAGGCTGCAACTTATTAAGAGCTAGACAAAAACTTCCTTTATCTACCTAATTCATCCTAGATTAGAGTTTTACCACAGGAGCTACAGAGTACAGTATTTTCTAAGTCTGTAGAGAAATGATGAGGTCAATTTTTGAACATAAAGAACGCTTTCTTACGCCTATAATCCCAGCACTTTGGGATGCCGAGGTGGGCAGATCACCTAAGGTCAGGAGTTCGAGACCAGCCTGGTCAACATGGCAAAACCCTGTCTCTACTAAAAATACAAAAATTAGCCAGGTGTGGTGGCGCATGCCTGTAGTCCTGGCTACTCAGGAGGCTGAGGCAGGAGAATCGCTTGAACCTGGAAGATGGAGGTGGCAGTGAGCTGAGATTGTGCCACTGCACTCCAGCCTGGGCAATAGAGCAAGACTCCGTCTCAAAAAAAAAAAGGAACTGTTTTTATACTTATGCCTAGATAAGCATGCACATAGAAGAGAAATCCTCACTTACCTTGCCCATTCCTTCGTCCAATATCATCCTTTTTAAATACTGCACCTCCGCTAGGTACACATTTTTCACCCCATTCATCCTTCAATTTCAATTCTTCAATCTGATCATCAGTCAGTCCTTGCATATTAGGAGGGAGAAATATGCCATGTTCAGCTAATTCTTCCATTTCTTAAAAATAAGCAAAAGACAGTATCACAATCACAACACCTCATACCATTGGAACGTAAGCTACAAAGGGCCAGGGGCTTGCCCAACTGGCTCACTATTTTGTGGAACAAACATTTATATGCCACTTGCTAAGTGCCAGGCCTGGCCTGGACCCTTGACAAAGAGTCATTGATCCACCCTCAGCCAACAGCATAGAGAGCTCAGAAGCTTGCCCCATGTCCCAGGCAGTCGGCCTGTAGATTGAGTGGCCAATCATTTGTGCTATGTTGTGCTTCCTAGAACTCTGGAGGGGCAAAATTACTATTCATTGAACACCTGAATATATATTCACATGGGTTTTACAGTTTTCCAAGTGCACTCACATGGACTATCTCATTTAATTTAACCTTGTACATTCCCCCCACCCTCCTTAATTTATGGTTGTATCATGTCCGGCTCGCTCAGATGACACAGCTGCAGCTGATATCTTTTTTCTTGAGACAGAATCTCACTCTGTCACCCTGGCTGGAGTGCAGTGGCACGATCTCAGGTTCACTGAAACCTCCAGCTCCCAGGTTCAAGCGATTCTCCTGCCTCAGCCTCCTGAGTAGTTGCGATTACAGGTGTCTGCCACCATGCCCAGCTAATTTTTGTATTTTAATAGAGACACGGTTTAGCCATGTTGCCCAAGCTGGTCTCCAACTCCTGACCTCAAGTGATCCACCCACCTCGGCCTCCCAAAGTGCTGGGATGACAGGCGTGAGCCAATGCGCCTGGTCTGAGACCTTCTATAAAACTTCATGTCAATGCTTCATAAATAATTTATACAAATCAGTGGGGAGGATTTAAAGCAGCTTACACCCCTCAGAGGTAGCAGAGATGGGACAAGGGACTTGGTTTTCTAGTATCATGTTCACTATTCAAATACATGGCTATTTTCCCTAATCCTTATATATTCACCCCAAAACCAGTCTGCATTTTAAACTTGCAAAATTGCCTTCCTTTCTCTCTCTCTCTCCTTCCTTCCTGTGAAGGAGGCACCTGGATCTCAGTGTTCCCATAACATTGTATGAGGACGTCACCTGACCTGAAATAATACAGTATTACGAATAAATGGTGTCATTGAATGGGATGTTTACTGTCTCCCTCTCCACCACAGTCTAAGCTACTTATTTCTTAAAAGTAAGGGAAGGTTAGATAACATCTATCACAGTCATCATGATGCCACCTCATACCCCATTGGAATGTTAGCTTCCAGGGGTCAGGGGCCTTGCCCATCTGGCTTTCTATTTTATGGAACATTTATATGCCACTTGCTATGTGCCAGACCTGGCCTGGACCCTTGACACAGGGGCACGGTACTGGTCTTATTCATCCTTGTCTTTCTTTTCTTTGAGACAGGGTCTCCCTCTGTCACCCAGGCAGGAGTGCAGTGGAGCGATCTCAGCTCACTGCAGCATTGCCTCCCCGGTTCAAGTGATTCTCGTGCCTCAGTCTCCCAAGTAGCTGGGACAACAGGCATGTGTCACCACGCCCAGTTCAGTTTTGTATTTTTAGTAGGGACTGAGTTTCACTATGTTCTAGGCTGGTCTAGAACTCCTAGGCTTCAAGGGATCCACCTGCCTCTGCCTCTCAAAGTGTCAGGATTACCCGTGTGACCACCGCACCTGGCCCCATCCTTGTCTTCTGAAGGCTGAGCACTGGTGCAGAATAAATACATGAATTTTAAGTTCACTAATGTGACTCTCAGCATTCAGCACATTTCCAATTTACAATGTTATAGAAAGAGAAGACAAATTCCTTTTCTCCTCAAATGCTTTAACTTAAAAATAACATTTAATATTGTGTTTGTGTTGGAAGCTCAATTAATACACTACACATAAGTTTCATGAAAAGAACCATAACCCTCAGGAATTTCTCCAAGGTGCAAAAATTACATGTTCATGCAATTTAATCAATACCTTTAATAATAAATCACATATTCATGCAATTTAATAAATCACATAAATGAATATACTATTTATTGCAAATAGTTACGTTTCTATTTTCTATGTATACATGATGATAGTTATATAAACACTTAGTAATATCCTACACCACATCAGAAAGTATCATCCCGTCAAGTTCAAAAGCTATGCTGTCTAATGCGGCAGGTACTCACTCACTTGGCGATTTAAATTTATTTAAATTAATTAAAATCAGCCGGGCGCAGTGGCTCACACCTGTAATCCCAGCACTTTGGGAGGCCGAGGCAGAAGGATCACCTGAGGTCAGGAGTTCGAGACCAGCTTGGCCAACATGATGAAACCCCGCCTCCACTAAAGATACAAATAGTAGCTGGGCGTGGTGGCATGGGCCTGTAATTCCAGATATTTGGGAAGCTGAGGCAGGAGAATCCCTTGAACCCGGGAGGCGAAGGTTGCAGTGAGATGAGATCGCGCCACTGCACTCCAGCCTGGGCGACAGAGAGACCCTGTCTCTCACACACACACACACACACACACCACACTATATATATAATTAATTAATTAAAATGAAAATGTAAAATTCGGTTGCCTGGCCGCACTAGCCACATTCCAAATGCTCTGCCACACGTGGCCGGCGGCTGCCCAAAGGACAGCACAGATGGGGGCTCTTCCACCGCCGGGAGATTCTGCGGAACAGCGGTGCCCTGGAACCTGCGCGGGGAAGGGAGACGGCGCCGCCAAGCGAGCAACAGGCCGTTTCCAGGGCGGGGAAAGATCACCAAGGCTTCCTCAACTGTAAGGAGCCGCCCCAAAGTCAGGTGGCTCGCTGCTTTACATCGGGCGACTAAAAATAGTAAATTCAGCTTTTAAAAGCCCACCCAGTTCTCATCTCACCCCTCACACGTGATTAATTGCACTAAGTCGGCTGTTCAGCCAGGTCTTTCGGCTCCCTCCTCCCTCCCCAGCCCATTTCCACTTATTCGCAGCACCCCAGGATTCGCAACATCCCGGGCACCTGGGCCCACCTCCCAGCCCGGGATGCCAGACAGGCTGGACTTTCTCCGGTTCCTTTCTCATCTCCGGTTAACCCCAGTGTCCCGTTTCAACCCCGGCTGCTGCAAATCTCTTCAATAATCTTCACAAACCTGACCCCTCGGCCCACCCTACCCCTCTTTCTCCATCCCACGCCTGTCTCTCGATCTGTCCCGGCTGGGCCCGCCCGCGAGCCGCACCTGAGCAGAGGCGCTGCACCTTGAGCCGCCCATTATAGACCCGGGCCACCTGCACCGTGAGCTCCTCTAGCTCGGTGCTCCCAGGCGCCTGCAGCAGGAACTGGCTCTCGTCGCCCCGCTTCACGTGCAGCAGAACCATGGCGGGCCCGCCGAGGCACTGAGGCGGTGAGAAGGCCCGGGCTGCGTGGCCCGCGAATCCGGCCGGTCGAGGGTCGCCGGATCGCCAGCAGCGACGACGCACTAACAACCGCTTAGGGGCCCGAACCCCACGCTCCGGAGGCGGCAGTGAGCGAGGGAAACGGCACTCGTTCCCGGAAGTGGATGTTGCCAGCAGCAACAGTGAAACAGAGTCAAAAGAGCCCCCAGCTCCAGCTCAGAACCCGAGTGGCGGAGGCTGGGGTGCACTGAGGCCCAGCAATCTACGCCCACATGTAGCTGCCGCCGGAGAAACCACCCACACAGCCTGAGAGGGCAGCTGATTCTGGCCCCACCGACGGAAGGAGATTCGCAGAAACCCCTCCCGGAAGTGACTGTTGTCGTGGCAACTTCCCAAACACAGACCAAGCCGCTGAAATGGAGGGTAGACCTCCCAATAGACTGGTCTGGGGCCCGAGATTCCACTGAGGGAGATACGTGGGCTGAGATGGGAGTTACTAGATGGGGAATGGGAGGAACGGCAGGCAACATACGCGCCGAGTTCCGCAACTGCCGCCCCACAACCACTCCACATGCCAGCGTCCCTTCCGCCGCTTTCAGTCTCCACTTCCGGCAACGCCTCCATGCTGCTTCCTGCCTGGTAAAGTTTGGCTGCAGCGAGCTAGAACTGGGTCGCTCTGTTTGCTGCTGTTTGCGCGCGTTTGCTTTTCAGGACGGAGGGGCCAGGGCGAGTGTCCGCACTTCTTCGTTCAGGCTGATTTGGATGGCGTTGCTAGGGTAGCTCCAGCGATTCCTGCCACAGCGACCCTTCCCGAAATATCCAGCGGACTCTTGCAGAAGTCGATCGGCGTCAGTCGCTGTTTCTTCCGGGCGCCGCAGATCCACAGTCACTGCTCCCATGGAGCTTATATTTTAGTGTGACAAAGAGAAAACAAAAATAAATGGCAGGCCGGGCGCTGTGGCTCACGCGTGTAATCCCAACACTTTGGGAGGTCGGGAGTTCGAAACCAGCCTGGCCAACATGGTGAAACCCCGTCTCTACTAAAAATACAAAAATTAGCCAAACGTAGTGGCACGTGCCTGTAATTCCAGCTACTAGGGAGCCTGAGGTGGGAGAATCGCTTGAACCCGGGAGGCGGAGGTTGCAGTGAGCCTAGATCGCGCCACTCCATCCTCTGCGACAGAGTGAGACTGTGTTTCAAAAATAATAAACGGACGATGCAAATTCAAATACAGGTCTAAAAAAACTAAACAGGTTGATGGACTTCTTAGGTTGGATGGTCAAGGAATGCCTTAAGAGATGCGTAACATTTGCAGAGTCCTTAGTAACAAGGCGTCTAGGCGAGATAGTGCAAGGCGTCTACCCGTTGTCTCGTGGTTCTTGGAGGGGAGCAGTGCTGAGTACATATCGATTTGACTATTACAAGCGCCCGCTACTTCCTGTTCCTTAAACTATGGAACTTTGGTCTTCTTGGTTGAAACTGGGGAGTGTGTGTTGGGGAGGGGGCGTGTTGGGGGAAAGGGTATGACTGAAGGCCTGGAAATGCCCAAAGCTAATCTGGGCTTGATAGGAAGACTGATAACTGATAGTGGATAGAAGGGGGAAGGAGCCTTGGGAGAGGGGAAGGTGTGTTATTATTTCTAGTACTGTTGAGACAGGGATCACCCAAACCCGAGAACAGGCAGTACTGGTCTGATTGGCAAATGCCTATCTCGCCAGAAGGAGAAATGGGCTACTATGTTTTCTTAGCTCCTGACTGCGGGCCATAAGGTCATACCCTCTCTTGAATCCAATTCCGTACTCATCAGCTTCTTAAAATTTTACAGTATAGCCTTCCAGATAGAGAGCTACATGTCCACAAACTTACGTATTTTACAGGGTCTCCATATAATTGTTAATAATATTGAGAAATGTAGAAAATCGTTGCGTAAGAACCCATGTTTTGACCATCCAGTTTTGTTTAAATATGTAGCTTAGTAATCATCTAGTGATTATTAAAATCACCACAGATCAAGCCTGTGCAGTATCTTTAAATTTGTCAGCCCTGGTATTTGTGGTCCTCATAATTTTTTTATAACTGCATTCTGTTCAGCATTTTCTTTTCTTTTCTTTTCTTTTTTTTTTTTTGAGACAGAGTCTCACTCTTGTCGCCCAGGCTCATTGCAACCCCTGCTTCCTGAGTTCAAGCAATTCTCCTGCCTCAACTTCCTGAGTAGCTGGGATTACAGGCGCCCGCCACCAGGCCCAGCTAATTTTTGTATTTTTAGTAGAGACGGGGTTTCGCCATGTTGGCCAGGCTGGTCTCCGCCCACTTCAGCCTCCTGAAGTGCTGGGATTATAGGCATGAGCCACCACCCCGCCCTGTTCAGCATTTTCTTAAGGTCCTTTTCTTGTCATACAGGTCTTGTCTTAAATATCTGTGGTTAGCTCTTTCCTGGTGTGGTTTCAGCAGTCATAAATCATGCAAAGCCTGTTTTCTTGCCCTCAGGCACCCAAATGAGTTCTGAATCTGAGGACCAAGATGACACCTGGTGTGGTCTTGTGAGTTTTCACTAGTTTTCTCTTTGTATTTGAGGTGCTGTTGCCTTTCTAGGATGAAGAGCATCTTATGACCATTTGTATCTGTTCAGCAGTCCATCAGTGATTAACATCTTGATCTGGATAATTTATGAGTCTTTCATGATGGCTGCTGGATATCAGGCAGCCAGAAAGGAAAAGAGCAAATTTTGCTCTATTGACTGCCTTTTTTTTTTTTTTAGGTCCTAACACACTACAAATACAGTTAAGGCCTCTCTCTAATCCCATTCTCTTCTTCCCCTTCTCCAGAGGTAAACTGCTATTCTGAATTTGGTGCTTATCATTTCCATTGCATGTTTTTAATACCATTAACATGTGTATGTACCCCTAAAAATATATCCTCTTGTGTATTTTAAATTTTATTTATTTATTTATTGAGACGGAGTCTTGCACTGTTGCCCAGTCTGGAGTGCAGTGGTGCAGTCTTGGCTCACTGCAACCTCCGCCTCCCAGATTCAAACAATTCTCCTTGCCTCAGCCTCCCAAGTGGCTGGGTAATTACAGGCGCCTGCCACCACGCCCAGCTAATTTTTTTGTATTTTTAGTAGAGACGGGGTTTCACTATGTTGGCCAGGCTGGTCTCAAACTCCTGACCTCGTGATCCGCCTCCCTTGGCCTCCCAAAGTACTAGGATTACAGGCGTGAGCCACTGCAGCTGACCTTGTAAATTTTATATAAATGATATCATACTATTTTGTATCTTGCTTTATGGCTACACTGTGAGGTTTTCTCATATGTTCTTTTCACTCACTTATTTTCCACTCCACTCCCCAGTTGAGATTTATTTCTGGATTTCACCATTACGAACAATGCCTCTCATGTTCCACAGATCCTAGTTTCTCTAGAAGTCGGATTTCTTGTTGATAGGGTACATGAATTTTACCTAATATTGTTAAATTGTTTTCTTGAGCTGATGTGCCAGTTTACTCTTTCACCAACCATGTAAGAGTTCCCCTCTCTCCGTATAATTGGTAATCCTTGATATGGTCAGACATTTTTTTAACATTAATAAACTGGTGTTTTGATTTATATATCAGTTTCTTGTGAGTTTGCTTATTACATGCCTATCACCCTTGCTATAGTTTCTGGCCCTGCAGAGCTCAGAATCTGGCTGTGGGTCATGTAAAAAGAATGAAAACTAAGCTACAGACTGGAGAAGTATCTGCAAACCACATATCCAATGAAAGATTAGTAGAATCTAGAATATGTAAATAATCTTCTAAACTCAACTGTAAAAACAAAATCCATTTAGAAGATGGGCAAAATACTACAGACACTTCACTAAATATAAGATGGCAAATAAGCACTTGAAAAGATCTTCAGGCTGGGCGCAGGAGCTCACACCTGTAATCCCAACACTTTGGGAGGCCGAACTGGGCAGATTACGTGAGGTCAAGAGTTTGAGACCAGCCTAGCCAAAATGGTGAAACCCATCTCTACTAAAAACACAAAAAATTAGCTGGGCATGGTGGCAGGCGCCTATAATCCCTGCTACTTGGGAGACTGAGGCAGGAGAATCATCAGAACCCGGGAGACGGAGGTTGCACTGAACCAAGATTGTGCCACTGTACTCCAGCCTGGTTGACAGAGCAAGACTCCATCTCAAAAAACAAAAACAAAAGATTTTTATCATTAGCTGTTAGGGAAATGCAAATTAAAACCACAAGGAAACATCCACTACTATAATAGCTAAAATAAAAAAATAACGACAACACCAAATGAGGAAAAGGATGGGGAGAAGCTGGATTACTCATGCATTGCTGATGGGAATATGAAAGGGTAGGCACTCTGGAAAAGATTCAGTTTTTAAAGAACGGAAGCATGCCATTACCATATAACCAAGCAATTGCACTCCTGGGTGTTTATCCCAGAGACATGGAAACTTCTCTTCACAGCAGCTGTATTTGTAATAGCCACCACACTGGAAACAACCCAGGTGTCCTTCAGTGGATGAATGGTTAAAGGATGGTATATCCATACCATGGAATACTATTCAGCAATAAAAAGGAACAGACAGTACGTGCAACCTAGATGAATCTCCAGAGAATTATGCCGAGTGAAGAAAGCCAACCCCAAAAGGTTACATACCACAAGTAAATTTACATAACATTCTTGAAGTGAGAAAATTATACATGCAGAGATCAGATTAGTGGTTGCCAGAAGTTAAGGGCAGGGGAAAAGGAGATGGGATGAAAGGGCAGTGGGAAAAGGGCAACATGAGGGCTCCTTATGGTGATGGAAATGCTCTGTGTCGTTCATGTCTTGGTCATGCTCTGGTACTGTAGTTTTGCAAGATGTTACCCGTGGGGGCAAGTGGGTAAAGGGGTACATGGGGTCTCTGTATTATTTCTTATAACTCCATATTAACCTATAAGTATCTTAAAATGTTTTTTTAAGGCAATAATTCTGTAACTTCTTAATCAAAGGTTAATGAATATTAAGAATTAAGGTAAGAATTTCAAATATCAACCAGATAGGTCTGAAAAAAGGCAACACTAGCCTTGGCCTTTTTTTTTTTTTTTTTTTAATGAGATAGGGTCTTGGTCCGACGCCCAGGCTGGAGTGTGGTTGTGTGATCATAGCTCACTCACTGCAGCCTCGATCTCCTGGGCTCAAGTGATGCCCCACCTCAACCTTCTAAGTAGCTGGGACTACAGGGATGCACCACCATGTCCACTAATTTTTTTGATTTTTACCAGATATAAAGTCTATGTTGTCCAGGCTGGTCTTAAACTCCTAGGCTCAAGCAATCCTCCTGCCTTAGCCTCCCAATATGCTGGGAGTACAGGAATGAGCCATTGCACCTTGCCTAGCCTTGGCCTCTTTCTTTTTTTGAGACAGTCTCCCTCTGTCCCCCAGGATGAAGAGCAGTGGTGTGATCTTGGCTCACTGCAACCTCCGCCTGCCAAATTCAAGCTATTCTCCTGCTTCAGCCTCCTGAGTAGCTGGGATTACAGATCCCTGCCACCACACCCAGTTAATTTTTGTATTTTTAGTATAGACAGGGTTTCACCATGTTGGTTAGGCTGGTCTCGAACTCCTGACCTCATGATCCACCCATC